TAGTAAAATTAAAAACTTTTATATATAAGAAAAAATATGTATTTTACTAATTATAATTAGTAAAAAATTTAAGCATTGCATTATTTTTGATTGCTACTGTATATAATTAATAATAAATTTATTTAAAATTATATAAAAAAATAATCTTAAGTTTTTAAAAAACTTAATATTTTCTTATTATATAATAAAATAAAATATAATTTAAATTATTTTTTATAATATATATATATATTTCTATAAAAAATATATATAAATTTTTATAGTTAATTTTATAAGCTAATTTTTTAAATATAAAATACAAATTTTACTAAAATTTTTTTATATATAAATATGTTTTCTAAATATTATAATCTAAAATTAATTTTCAATTTTTTTTAATAATAATTATTTTTTTATTAAATTTATATTTAATTTTATAGTTCCTGGCAAAAAGAATAATAGTAAATATTTTTGCTTATATTTTTATAATAAAATATCCAAAACTCATGAAAATTTGTAGATATATTCTTTAGAATATTATAAATAAGACTCTCTAATAGCATAAGACATGTTAGCTTAATAAATTTTGCAGAATTTTGTGTCAAATGTGGTGGATTAGATATCTATATGAAATAACTTTGAAAAAGAAATTATTTAAAAATATTTTTAATAAGTAATTTTGAAAATATTTTTGTAAAGATATATTTTAAGATATAAAGAATATATTTGTAAGTTTAAAAAAAATTTTCATTGCAAATTTATTTAATAAATATCAGTTAAAAAGAGGCTTTATTTTAATAATTTTTATAAGAAATTATAGTAAAATATAGTAAAAATGGATTTTTACTATAATTTATTACAAAATAAAGTCTTTTTTTAACTGGTATTTATTAAATAAATATGCAAAAAAATTTTTTTAAACTTATAAATATATTCTTTATATTTTAAAATATATTTTTACAAAAATATTTTCAAAATTACTTATTAAAAATAATTTTAAATAATTTTTTTTTAAACTTATTTCATGTAAACACCTAATCCATCATATTTGATGCAAAATTTCACAAAATTTTATTAAGTTAACATACCTTATGCTATTAGAAAATCTTATTTGTAATATTCTAAAGAATATATCTACAAATTTTCATAAGTATTAGATGCTTCATTGTTTTTGCTGGGGACTGTAATTTTTTATTATTAACTATTTAATAAAAAGAATATAAAGAAAATAGAATATAAATAAAGAAAATTAAAAGAAGAAAACAAATAAAAAGAAATTAAAGAAAATTTAAATTTAAATATTAATATATAGTAATAATTATAAATAATATAATTTTTTAATTTTTTACTATTTATAATTAGTAAAAAAATTAAAGCATTGCATTATTTATAATTGCCACTGTAATTTAAAATAATAAATAAAAATAAAAATATAATGAAATAATATATATAAAGTTATAAAAAATTTATGAAATATAAAATTTAATATAAAATTAAAGAATTTTTTTCTATTATAATAATATAAATTATAAAATTTTTACTAAATAAATATATTAAAAATTATATATTTTATTTATAATTAAAACAATTTTCTCCTAAATAATATTTAACTATAATTTATAATTTTATATTATAAAAATAAAAAATTGTGATTAGTAAAATCAACTAGAATATAAAATATAATAATTATTAGTCATATAAAATTAATATAATTTTCATTTAAATTCTATATACTGTATGTAATTTCATATATAAATTATGTCAAGTATTACATAATGCATATATTTTACCTTTTCCAATCATGTCTGCTAAAACATGTAATTTTTTTATTTTTAAGAGACGTCTTTAGTATTACAATATACTCTTGGCTTTTGTATTGTTTTTCAATAAAAAAATTATTTGTTAATTGCAATTTTATTTAATATATATACTGCTATATTATACATTAAACTAATGCAAATAAAACTCTAATACATGTAATCGGCAAAAAATATTTATGACGCTATTCTATCACATTTTGTAAAAGATTTCGATTAATATAAAAGTAACATGACTACGAGATTTTGTAACCATGATAATAGTTAACTTTGAACTTTCTGTAACTATAAGATGATGAAACAAAACTTTATTTCGCTAGGAATTTTTATCGTTTCTTGGTTTAGTTTTATTCTCCATGCTGCCAATCGATGGGTTATCCACCGCCGAGGGCATACACTCGTAACCATTTGCGAAAAATTTTTACCGCAACATTAAACGGTCATGCTATAAACTGTTCACCTAAAAAATTTCCATGCGGCGTATACAAAACCGACAAAAACTTTACAACAACACTAACTGCCGGACAAATTATCAACATCACATTCTACAATCCAAATGTAATTCCAAAAGTAGCCTCGACAAATAATGATCAAGCACGTCATAACGGCGGACGATGCGAATTCACTCTAAGTTATGATGGCGATGAAACATGCACAGTTATCGGTGTTTACCATAGAACGTGTCCAGATGTTTGGTACGAATGATTCCTGAAGACGCGCCTTCTTGCAACAAGCTTGGTCAGTTCATTTTTTCGTGGAGTTGGATGAACAATCTTGGGCGACGAGAGCTTTATCAGAATTGCGCTGATATTAGGATTATTGGCAATTCTAATAAAATCCCATTACCAAAACGTGAGATTTCTAAAGTTAATTATCCCGATCCTTTGAATTCTGGAAATGCTAAAGGTTCTGGTCCATTAAAAGACAACGTTGATGCTAATGCTGGACCAATTCAAGATGTTATTTTTATTAAGTTCAATAAATGAGTTGATAAAATTTTCTTTTGATTACAAAGTATTGATTTATGGTACAGAGATCTCTAAATACACCCTCTATAAATGCACTGGCTAAGTAAATTCTCTTTAAATGCATCTCCCATGTATAGCACTTATAAAATTTCTCTTTTTAAAAAAGTTCCTATGGTCCCAAGGGGTGCATTTAGAGAGGTCACTCTGTATTCTCTGAAAATGGATGTATCTTATTAGCATTTAAGAATAAAATATTTAGATCTTTAAAGTGTTCTTTTAATATTTATTGTATTAAAATGTGCTTTTTGAATATAACAAAGTATTATAACAGTGATTTTCAGAGAATTTAGCAAATATTATACTATTAATACAAAAACTATTTAAAAAAATTCAATGCACACTATTTAAAAACTAACACCGCCAACAGTTTAGACGCGTGCAGTAGGAAGAGATGTTGAAGACGAAGGCTCATTAACGCGCTCATTAGGATCGGCTACACCGATTGAATAATCAAGACGAGGATCGAAAGCTGATGATTGCCAAGGTTGTTTCTGCGTCGGTTCCTCCAACTCTTCCTCTTCCGCTTCTTGTGCTGGTTTTGTTAGGGATTTCCTTTTGATCGTACTACGGAATATTTCGGTTAAAGTTTATTCAGTATGATTGCGATTAAATAAATGGATGCAACAGTATAAGCTAATAATGAAACAAACCAGATCTGTTCATCGATGTAGTTAATCGCATTTCTCAACATATCATTGATACTATTTTCAATTTGTTTCTTGATACGTTTCTCGTACAATGGAGTTATGAACTTGTACAAGGTGCTATTATTTATCAAATAAAAAGATCATCCATTTAGTAAAGGATTAACTCGTCCATAATTTATTAGCAAAGAATAAATCATTACTTACTCGTGTTTAGTGTTATGCAGGCGGAATTTCAATTCCGAAATGCGAGAATGAAGTTCCACAATTTGGAACGTTGACGGCGTAGTATCATCATTGTTAGCATTCAACATTAGTTTCATGTGGAGACAGAGACCACCGCTTTCTTCAGGAACAGCAAAGTCAATATGGCCAACCTTTGTTTTTAAAATTTAAATGAAGGTTAAGGAATAAAAGGCATGAATGTCATGAATCGTATCAAAGAAATGCTTACATCCATCCATTTAACAAATGAGCCTTTCTGTCGATAGAAGAAGGCGATGTTGCGAGCATCTGCTGCTATCTTTGTGCTAAATTGCGACAAGAAAGTGAATTAATTTTGTTTGTCTTTTTTTATAAATTTGTTTAAAAACTTACATATCAAGTGTGATCGTGTTCTCGAGAACTTGGTCTTCTTGACGATCAAGATCAATGTCGGCTGTTAGATTAAGATGGATGTGTCGAGCGACCAGTTGCGGAATGTGGAGAACGATGTTGTCGAAGATATATTCGTTTTGATCGTCCGCACTTTTGAGAATAGTTAGTATAATTTTGAAGATTAACTGTAAAGTTAAATATGATAAATTTAAAAGGGATAGCCTACTGTTCGATTCTTGGAAGTGCAATATAATTGAACTGAGCGCCGAGAACTTGAATTATCTTGGCAATGTCTTTAATTAGCTCGAATTTAAATGCTGGTCTATTCTTGTCATCCAAGAACTATTATAAATCAGTCAAATATACGTTAATATACTCGTTAACCCGGCAGTAACGCATAAAAATGTGTAAAAACTCACCAGATCTTTTGTGAGAACCTCAAGATCCTTCTTAAGTTGAGTAGTGGTTGAATCCTCTTGCAAGCCTTTATTAAACAATGCAGCCTCCCTAGAAATATTCTGCGTGATATCACCATACTGTTCTAAAAGAAGAACACGACCACGTTCAATCAAATCGGAGCCACGTGATGTATAATCAGTATTCTTGACGAACTCAACATCAAGCAGTGATTTCAATGCGAACTCGCGCAAGTCATCAAAGTATTGATATAATTCATCATGCGTTCTGACTTTTACGCTAAATTCTTTTAATGCGGCTATCAAATTGTCGAGTGAACGATGATTGGCAAAATTTTCAATCAGTTCTTTGGCATTTCTTTCGACCTCATCGACGGAGGGAGTTCTCGCTTCTTCGGTGAGTGGTTCGCTTGCTTCTGCTACTTTTGCGGTGAGTTCTTGGGTTTTATCACTAATATGACTGATGATGTTTATAAGATCTTGGATTGCTTCTTGGTATTCTGGGGTGCTTTGAGTTTGAATCATTAGATTTTTGAATCGGTTAACCTAAAGTTTTAGGATGATATTTTAGAATTTGGCTACAAGATTAATATTTTAAGTGTTCTAGTATATTCTCAATTTGATACAAACCAGGTTTTCACGTTGTTCCCGTGTCATCTTATACCCGGCACGTTCAGTAGCTTTATCTATGTCACCAGCTTTATAAGCTTCCGCAGCTTCTTGAGCACGATCAGTCGGACGGGTGTTTTCAATATTTTCTTGGACGTCTTGCATTGCATCACCAGTTGCTGCAGTAGGATCTTCGGCACCGGCAACCTCGCGAGATTTCTGAATAGTTTGGTCAATTTTATCAAAACCTTTGGCGATTGCTTCTTGAATAAGGGAATGCAAATCTCCAATTAATCTTCTAAATTCAGGACGAGTGATGAGTAGTCGAGCAACATTTGCTCCTTTGCTGAAGCCTTCCTTAACGAGCTCGGTTGTTTTGTCCGTTTCGCCGCGAGCTTTCGCTTTTAGATCTTCTGGAATGTCGGTTGGTACTTTGTCTTATTCAAAAGATAAATAAAAAGATCGAATTTTAATACCGGGAATTGTGGTAAGTTATCAAAAGCATATTTGTAAAACCCACCTCCCATACTCTTAGCAGTCTGACCTCCATAAAAGATCAAATTCTGCAACTGTTCTCCCCGATTCTTTTCTTTTAACACTCGCTTCGTGGTATCCAACAATTTTTCAGTGTCGGACAAGATTTTTCTGCCTAACGGTGATAACTGATGCGATACATCATGAAGAGTTTCCGACTCTTGAACTTTGGTGATGGTCTCGGTTATTTGCTTAGTCGTCGGGAGTTTTCCTTCACTTTATTTGATTATGGATAGATAAGCATGAAACAATAATATTTTTCAGGTTATCGATTATAATGGTTTCAAAAGAGTTATATTTTACGTTCAAAATAGTGTCAAATTTATCAAGTTATGTTGGTTTGATATTATTACCTAAAAGCTTCGACGACCTCCTCCATCTTTACTTTTGTTCCCAAAGCTTGGCGTTCAGCAACGTCACGCTCGGGATCATTAAGTGGTGGAAGATTAGACATGTTTAATTTAATAGTTATGCCTATATATAGAAATAATGCGTGGGATATTCAAGAATATTATTCTGTTTAAAAAAGTTTGAATATTGTAATGAATTGAAATTTTGTTATGGAGAGAAGACGGGAAATATACCAACAAGGACGCTTTATATAGATATATGATTATGACCTTGAGAATAATAATTACGCAAAGTTTTTTTGCGTGATTCATCAATAAATCAATTACATATTACATTTTACGTACACTGCTGTAAAAATTTCGATGATTTTCTATGATGCCGATGATTGTCGTGTAGATAAATATATGATGTAAAGTTTACGTTATTGTAGTCTAATATATTATAGTATTAGTCTGGTTTTTGGCGTCTGATTATTGGCGAATTCCTGTCATTACGCATGATAGAACGTATTTAGGTTAGTATATTCGAAACGTCTCCAGAGTAAAATTAAATTTTTGAGTTTAGTAAAAATGGCTGGAGCTTGTGAAATTTTTAACATTAACGTTTAATGATGATAGATATTCATTGATCTTTTTTTAACACACCGACGGCATTTTGATATTATATTTGATATTATATGATTACCGAACTTAATAACAAATATATTAAATCATCACTTTTAATGTATCGCTTTTAATGTAAACATTAGAAGGCGCGAATTTTTCTAACGCTAATTCATTACAAACGACAATCACGTTCCACCAATGATCAACATACAAACTGGGGAAAAGGAAAAATAACGATAAGCCGTAGATAATCAAAAATCATGTCAATCTATCATTCTTTATTGTTATTTTTATGATAAATCTATTATAGATAAGAAAATAATTTTGCAAACTTGAATATTACCACGATCATTATATTCAAACAAATCTACAAATCATGGATTACCGTGTCAGAGGTAACGAGGCAGTAAAACGTGGTGACTACTTAACCGCCTATCACGAATACAACAAAGGACTCATCGAATCCCCCAAAGATCCAACACTATGGTGCAACAGAGCCTACGTATTTCTCAAACTAGGATATCCAGAACTAACATTAATGGACACCAAACGTGTCTCAAATATCCTCGCTGCCGAAATCAATTTTTCTTCCGCTCAATCGGACACACACCAAATCCTCGGTTTTAAAGCAGCTTATCGTCAAGGTGAAGCATATACACAGCTAAAACTCTACAAGCTCGCAATAAATAAGTACAACGGATTACTAATGTCGCTATCGATGAATTTGTTGAACGAGAACGTGCAAGTGGATCGAGTTTCGTTGGAGACTAAACGTGATTTCTGTGTGGAGCAGGACAAAAAACTGTCGACCGAATTTAAGAATTATCAGAAATTTGGCGGGGATGCGGGTGAGTTTCAATTCAATGTGGGTTATATGTGGGATACGCGGCCAGCGAGTCGTGGAGCCGAGACTACGCGTCAGACGTTACACAAAATTGTGAAATCGATCTCGTTTAAAGAGCTGAAACTTGATCGCATCGATTTTCAAGAATCGGAACACGAATCGAGTTCAATCGGGAATGGCACTAACAATAATGGTGACGGAAAAAAGGATAACGAAAGGTCACAGATTCAATTCGGTGTTTTCTCGGAATCATTTATCGAAGCTGGCGAGATAATTTTCCAAGAAGACAGTTTTCTTTGTGCCCACAACCACTTCACCTCACGCTGTGATTACTGTAATCGCCCACTCCCACCCGAACAAGAAATAATCACATGCGACAATGATTTATGCCAAGAAATATTTTGCAGTACACAATGCTACAGTTTAGCTCTCGCGAAGTACCATGGTCAACTATGTGGTAAAGACATAGGAAACATTCTTCAAGGTACACGAAAAGGAATGTCGAATAGTACTCTGGCATATCTCTTAGTTCTCAAAGTATTCGCCGTAGCAAAAACACGGTCTGTTCACCCACTCGATATTTCTGAAATGACGCATCTTCTACGTTACCAACTACCATCGGAACTAGGGCTTTCATTCAACGCAAACTGGACACAAATATACCAAGAAACACTTGATATCTTAGGAATTTCCGTGTATGACCTGCAATTTGATTTCTGGGTGTACGTGACGTGTTTGACGACTTTAGGATGTAATATATTTGGAGGTAAGGACAAACACGGGAGACCCGATACCGCGTCGCTGTTTCCGCATTTAGCTACCTTTATAAATCATAGTTGTGATCCGAATGTTGAACACAAAAACGGAGTAGTTGATTCATGCTTTTGGAGTCGTCATGTGTTTAGGGCGAGGAAGTGTATCCAGGCTGGTGAACAAATTTTTATTTCATATGTAAATACGAATTTTTGTAAGAAGGATCGAACAGCGAATCTTGCCTACTACGGGTTTAAATGTAGTTGTCAGCGATGTAAAGATGAACTTTAGTAAAATGCATGCACATGTAACATGATTTTAATCGTGAGAACTTCGATTCTTTCAAATTTAAGATTGATCAACACAAATAAAAAAATTTTCCTTTGAATTCTTTAATTCAAGAAAAAAAGATCAGCTTTATTTACATGTACATTTTGCTATTATTAGCTAGATTAAAAACATTCCAAACATTAAAGTCAAAAAATAAGGTTATGTGAATCTAGGAGAACTAACGAAGTAATTATGGTGGTCATCTTCGTTGAATTACATAACCAGGAGACTTTATGCTTTGATAGATTCAATGTTTTCAAGTTTATACGCTGTATGTGTTTGAAAAAATTAAAAATGAATGCACAGAATGGTAAATTAAAGAACATAAAATTATGCCACATTTATTACGTACCAGTTTCCTACAAGATAAATGAGAATGATAAAAGGCAAGACCGGTTAGGGTTAGATATAAATGTAATAAGAAAAAAAATTAAGAAAAAAACTTACTTTGCCAGTATTAGAATTTTTGATCAGGATCCGCGGTTGTTCTTCGCTCGCCTGAACTTTCTTTTGGGTATCACCAACAACCTAATAAAATTCACTCCATCTGTAACTGCTCACCACCACAAATAAACAAACATATTATCAGAGATAAAAATACCTCAGGCTCGGTAATAATTTCCTGAATGACACCTTCACTAGTAGTACCAGCCGTGCCGACGGGATGATAGACGACTGTCTGACCAGGTTTTAAATCTTTCAAGCTGACCTTGCATTCACCTTTAGTCTCAAGGTTGCTCATCGTTCTTGTTTGTAGTAGATAGGTTTTGGAAGAAAGTAATTGTTGTTTTTGAGAGCTGTAGTAGTGTTGCTGTTGTTGTTGTTGGAAAAAAGAAGAGTGCCTCCCTGCCGTTTATATAAGAAAAGTTGGGCGACTTTTGTGGTTTTCATTTTTGTTTAGTTGACTGAATCGTTACGAATTATTTATATACGAAACTGGCAAACGTTCGTATTTTTTGGGGGAATGACATACATATTCTAATTTTATTACAAAATGTTCCCTCGAGCCTCTGCAGTGTATGATGAAATAACGAAAAATACGTCATAGAATATTAGTTTTTGATAAATCCACGATGATTACATCAAAAGCGGTAGAAGGTATGATAATTATGATGATGGCAAGCGATAGTATGATGTAAGGTTGAATTGATTGAAATAAGAATGAAAAGAATCAATTTTTGTTTTCCGTAATGTTTTCACGAGTTCTTCTAAACTTTGAATTTTTACGTAGCGAAAATTCAACACACAAGGAAAATCCTTATCAATAATATAACAGCGATAGTATTATTAGTAAAAAATGTAATCGATCGATCTTTCTCAAAACGAACTTTTTTTGGGAATATACTCTATTAACTAACGTTCTTTCTAAATAAGGTATCAATGTTTATTATAAAAAAGATTTTTCCGAATGAAAGCCCAAAATAGAAAAAAATTATGCATCTCATGATCTTGAGCACATGTAATTTTATAATAATTGTGAAATCGGCGTCACCAAAGTTCATGTGTATGTACATAAAAAATAAAAGATAAAGCTACGTTTTCCCATTTGTAAAAACCCACATCGAATCAACAACACTCAACACAACCACCGTATTCGACTTGTAAGTGTCATCCAACTTCGCGTAAGCCCGTCTAACCACGTTCGCCACTTTACCATTGGGGCACCAGATATGTAGAATTTGTTTCCAGACTTTAGCATTGATGATGTTTCGCGTGGACGAATTGACGCCAAGGAGTTTTCTCGTGAGTAATTTGTGAGCATCTTGTTTTGTATAGCGACGTTTAGGTGCATATGCGCGTGTTACTGAAACGCCGAGACAGAATAAAATTTTTTGTTGTGGATGATGGAATTTCACGAGGTAGTCGGTCATTGGTTGATTTATAAATAGGTATTTTACTTCCATCTACATGTATTTTAAAAGTACATTGTCTTTATTAACGAAAATCCATCTTTCATTGGCTAATAATGCATATCAACTTCCAAGTATAGATCACCATTGCTCACATGTATTAATTTAGCCAATGAAAATTAAGATAAAATAGCTATATACGTACCTCGGTTTTAAATAATTCCACGCCCAAAATTCTTTCCATCACTTCACAAGAAAGAACTTCCGATAACACACTTGCACCCCCAGCATTTGGTAATCCCAACATCTTCTTCGCTCCCTGACCCCACAATAAATTATCAAACGATTGTCCCTGACACTTTACATTAACTCTTACCAAAGCATTTCTCTTCCGTTGTGTCAATCCCCCAGATAAATTCATGAAATCTATTGACGTTGAGTGCACTATTAAATCATTAAACGTTATTGATAAGTGATTGTTACAGAATTTTATGGTTTTAATCTCCTCGTCGCCGTTGTTATCGTTATTGCATGGGAGAATAACCTCTCGTTGAGTATCTCGGATCAAAATGCTGCTGCTGCTGCTGTCGAAGAAGACTTTGCTGCTGCCGCTCGTGCGCACGCTCTCGTTCGTTCTCAAAGCATGACAAATTTCCGGTTTCAAAGAAGGTGGTAGCTGCGCCAAACATTTCAAACGAGTTGCATTTAAAGCACGTCTTAAAGCAACACTTGATTTTGCTGTCGACGTGGTCAGAGTAGGATCCTGTGGCCACGGAGGAAGAAGTTAAATTTGACGAATTCGATAAAGACATTTTTTTACTATGTTAATTTTATAAAGTTATATTGCAAAATATGTTTTTTGAGGTGACTGGTAATCCAAAAAATGTTAAATTTGATAATGAGGTGATTATTTGAACAAAAAAAAAATTGCCAACCACGTCTACTTATTTTGGCTAAATCGTGCTGTGCATCTTTTTTATTGGTTACATGTTCTTTACTGCGTACTATGACATGTACGGAGATCGGTAAATGAATGATATTTGTGTATGTGTGTTACGTAAAGTCTCGTTTTGACATACACATGTACTTGGTGTGGTGTCGCGAACAAATTTAAAAAAAATAATGTGCTGCGCATTCAAATGGATCTTCTCCATGCCTGAGAAAAGTTTCGATGAAAAAAAACCCGCATTTTTTGTAATGATAATTACACTAGGAATGTAACTGTGGCAGCAGGTCAATTAATTTAAAGAAGGTAATAAAAATAACAAAAAATTTTATTATCTTTGTGAGCATCACATTTTTGTTTGTTATATATTCAATAAGAAAATACACGACCAATCAATCGTTCATTCATTCTTTCAATCAATCTCATCAAACTCGAAAGTTTTTCAATAGCCACCCCCTGTTTATTATCATCATGTAAAAAATCATTACCTCCTCTTTTATATATTCTTACCCACCAAGTCTCAATTCAGCGATGACTTGAAACGGTTTCACCTTCCGTAGACAAAGGTGTCTTCGATGCCGTTTGGTAGCCGTCGCGTACATTCGTGGATTGATGGATAGAATGTGTGACGAGGTGGTTAATTTGTCGAAATTGCTATGATTATCAATAGATAAATTCTAGAAATGATTTAAATTAGAATCTTACAAAGACATCACGAGACGATAGGACCCTTATGAAAACGACTCACCATATCGTCAAAAAGATCTTCACCTAGAAACTGTAGAAATTCTCTAATTGTTGTTAGTTGTGCAATGTTCCAGAGAAATGCTTGAAGCGCTCGTCTCCGTTGCTCGATAAAACGATTAGTAAAACGACCTATTTTATACATGCATAAATAGATTGTTATATTTACATTTTTTTTTGCTTGGGATCAAACCAAAAGATCGAATTGAAGTTCAAAATAACCACCATGAATTTGTTTTCCAGGAAGTGGTGGCAATCTTACTCGATCTAATTGTGAATTCGTCGTCACTAATAAAAGTGCCTGTAATTTTTCATAAGATCTCCGGAGATCCGAATACCGTTTATTCACGACCACATTTGTCATCTTACAAGAGAATGGACACCAGATCTAGTAAATAACGATAATAAAAATGGCTTGTTACTAATTAAAAGCTTCTTGTGCTGATCTGATCTAAGCTCTATTAGAAATATGTATCATGGAAACGGTATTTACATGAACTGTTATTTCATACTCTGTGAATTGTCGTCTTCCAAATATTCCCCCAAGTCTGATGCTGGGATTTGTCACGGATACCTTATTCGATATAGAACAACTGACATTAATAAGACAGGTAGAACGAGAGATATAGGTTGATGGTTATAAAAACCTACTGCTTTACCTTTACGATTCTTTGTTTCACTATTGGAAACGGGGAACTCAATGGTTGTCTCTCTTTAGAATAGTGCAACACTGGCATGCATAAAAAAAATTAGAATAGAAATATTATTATTAGATACCTCCAAAATAATAAAAGGGAATAATTAATGATTGGTTTTAATTCTCTCACTTTTGTCTCAATAGATTTTTAAAATAGAAGAGAGAATGTTAATAAAAATAGGACAGAATATATTTATACTCGATTATAATTAATCAGTTCAGTTAGACAAGAGAAAAAAATTTGTGTTGAGATCAATCAGTCGATTAGTCAGACAAGAAAAAGATATATGTTGTGATTAGAAAGTAGTTACCTTCTTTGTTCCTTGCCAGCAGAAAGTTTTTCAGAGAGTACAAAATAGTATACATATTATTTTCTACTTTATATACTTTATTTTTTATCAAGACTATCTATATGCGAGGATACTCTTAATGTTCGTTTAATAATATCTTCTATTTTAATATGTAAAGGTTATCTCGTTTTATTAAACGTTTATTTTGTTTAAAGTGAAACTGATGACCAATCTTAATTCACGCACAGACCCTTTTTATCTAAAAATACTTACGTATCGATATTTTTTATATGATTCATCAGATTATCAAACAATAGAGATAACACAAACTTTCTCGCCAACAAAAATATTATACATGTGTCAAAATTTAAAATTTACCCTCAATGTGTGTCCCTGGTGCACACAGGGTTTCATTGAAATGTTAACGTGAGCTGCAATCATACCTCATTCTGCTCCGTAATTTGAATATCCTAGCAGCACGATATCAGTTGGATTAATACATTTCTATTGGATCGATGGCTTTTCTCGATACCAAAATGTCACTGCATAGACTAGCCTCTTATGTCTTTATTCAAATTGGTACTTTTTAAGCTTAGTCATTTATTTGTAAAGCAAGGCCAAGCCAAAAGCATTCACTGCGCTTTCAACAATGACGAAGATGGATTTTATGCTGCGTAAAAATTAAATCAAGGGAAGGAACAACAATTTTGATGCCATCAATAGTAGAATCAAAAAAGAATACAAGCTTAGCAGTTCTTGATTCTGTATACTCGCCATGCTCAAGAAATTATTTCGATCACCCTGCCAATTATTCAAACTTTTAGATAATATGATGCGAAGTATATTACCAAATCCCTCACAATAAGCCTTGATGAAGAAAGTTAAAAGCACGATCGTAATTGTGAACTTCATATTAACACTATAAAATGGCTTCTTGATCTCTTGGACGGGATTCTTCTCATAAAAATTGACGCGTCATTGCAATCCTGAATTGAATTCGCCTCGAATCCTTTCAAGATTGCACGTGGAAATTTTTTGTGAGATGATTACAGAAAAACACTATTCTTTAATGAATAATGAATGCATCATCTACATGTAATGTGTATGACTTTATGTGTAATTTAATATTTTGTCCATGACGTCATACAAACACACCATTTCCGTTAACGTTAATGACGTCAATAGAATTAATAGCATAAATAGCGTCTCGAAACTTTCTATCTTTCGCTCACTCCAAAAAAGAATCCATAAACATCGTCTTTTAAATACAAATAGTTAGCAATCAAAAATGTCTACCGAAAAAGCTCGAACAATCAATGAGCAAAAATATCCAAATCCGGCCGCAACGAGTACAGATATTCCATCGAAAAAATCCGATGAAATCGATGAAGTTGTGCCAAAAGTTCGTGATGGTTTTTTAAATATTTATTTTTGGAATTTTCAAATACGAAATAATCTCTAAAAACCGTTTATATGAAAATATAAAGAGTAAGAGTAACGATCCAAATCACAACAGTCTTAATGAAAATCTACGACAGAAAACTAACACTCCCAGCCAGCAGTCGTCAACCAAACCGAAAGGTCTTTCAGCATTTGAAGCTGGAGCTCGCTCAGGTTTTCCTATTCGTATACATTTTGTTTTTATATATGTAAACGCCAAATTAAAATCATTTATTAAATTAAATTAAAGGTAGTTTAATTGACGATGACACTCCATTAGCGGTTCCTGAACTCGCTGATTCACATCCTAAAGATATTGGCAAAACCAAAGGTATTGGCAATACTAAAGATCATCCTGTTGACGAGACTAAAAATGTGTTTGGTCATTTGAAGGCAAGTTGATCCTTCTTCGTTCTCCTTATTATTAAATAACGATTAAAATAAAACCATTGATTTCAAAAGGATTCAATCATCAATGTGATACCAAACTCACGAACCAAAGAAAATGATCAAAAAACATCTGGCGACTCAAAGTAAGACGCATCATTTAAAGAGTCTCAGATTTCAATGGTAGATTATTATTCTCTTTATTTAAATAGCAAATTTTATCATAACGATAAATCTTTTAAAAATAAAAGATGAAATAAAAGTAATTACATTATCCCGGATTGAGATAATACTATTTAGAGTTTTTAAAGATATGTATGTATTAATAAATTACGGCTGTTTTGGTTTACCACAGCAGATAGATTTCTTTCCGAACCTAAATATTGAATTATAATTAATTTTGAGAAGGAACTGCATCAACGATGTCTTTAATAATAAATAACCAACCAAAAACTAAGCACGGTACGAAATAGTTTTACTGGATTTTTCCAAGGGGACCATTGTTTAATAAGTTTTTCCGCATCTCTGGAATTATAAAAAATGTTGTAATACCAATACCAAACAAAGCAAAAATATTATTAGATAAATTCACATAATAATAAATACAAACTCTTTTTTAAACCGGCGCTTCAACATTCTCTCCGTAGAATTCCAACAATATCCAGCGCCAAACCAACCAAACTTCTTTTCGCCTCCACAATCATGATAAAAATCTTCAATAGTCGAAAACCCAGGAATCGAGTACCACTCGGAGGATTTTAATAAATCGTTGTCAAGCATTTCTTCTGAATCGATTTTCGTTCCCTCGTTTTGAGTATTATGAATTATCCAGATGTCATAGGTATCGACGGTTTTCACAGCGATTCCATAATGACCGATTAGTTCGGAAAAGGAGCACGAATTGGGAAAGTAAACAAGCTTAGCATGAATCACTTGTTTATTTAGAATATCGATGTCTTTGTCGATATCGATATCTTTGTCGCTTTCAAATTGCATTTTTTGAATATCGATATCTTTGTTGTTCTTAAGTTGCATTTTTTGTTGTTTTAGAATATTGAGATCTTTGTCGTTTTTTAAGTTGCATTTGTATTGTTTTAGAACAACATTTTTATGTGTGACTTGGCTTATACATGCATATCGATATGTCGATATGTTTGATATGTTGATAAAAACTAAAAAATTTGATGACCGATTGCCTTTGATAAATTTCTCTGTCTACTGTAAATTATTTGAAGTTAATTGTATGTAATCCATATTTTACAAAGCATTCGTTACATTTTCGGCTCCTCATTGTTTTTTAATGACGTGACATCTAAATATTTTCCTAAAGTGCTTGTTCGTGGTCGAATATCATATTAACTTTGTAATTTTTTCGAATCAAAATTATCAGAACTTTATAAACACTGGATGCGAAGCATAATAATAAACGTACAATTAAAATCCTAAATATGACCGGTGTTTTTTAGTAAAAACTGACTAATGCGCATCAGTATATACACAGTAGACATCTTTAAGCAAGACGAAACCTCTTTATATCGAAAAATTGGCTGCACAAAACGTATAGACATTTACCTCTATAGCTATTAGTCAATCATCGTGCCATGCAGGATAGAACTAAAAATAGTAAGACAGATCATTCGCCGATTGTATTATTTTCCTCGACCATTTTACAATTATGTATCATTCGTGCATCTTGTTTCAAGCATACATTTCATAACGAAACCTTTACTTGGTTGATACAAAATTTATGGATTTCACAAGCTTTGCATCGACGCTGAATTTCTGTTGTTGTTGAACGGCTTTATACACAGAGCTTTATTTAATGTGTAATTGTTGAGAAATCCAAGCGATTTCTGCTTGATGTTTTGCTGATAGTTTCCAATAAATTTTTCGATAAAGCATCAGATTTTGCACATTTTTAGCCAAAATGAGTAAAAGATTGTGGAGAACTCATCAGAAAGACTATTTCCTAACAAAACCAAGGAATTCTTGACTAAAGTGTATTCTGCTTCTATTCAACTACACTGTCAGATAATGGTCCTGCAATTAATTGCTTCTTTGGATCTTTTTCTGTATTCAAACCAGGTGATAATAATAAGTGACTCAAAATAAATAAAACATCTTTTATTTTTCTTTTGTACATATACATGTGCATGTAATATGTTGTACTGCATAAATATCGACGACGACATGTAACGGTAACGATACAGCTTATCTAAAACACGTTAATAAAAATTAAAAATGAATGCCGACTCACTATTGGTTTCACATTCAAACAAGCTAGCCGAATTTTATGAAAAGGGAAATTTTTGCGATATTTCAATAATTGCTGGTGATGAAAATTCACAGCGTACCTTTGCCGCACATTCATCAATTTTAATGGCGCAGTCACAATATTTTGCCGTGGCGCTTTCTGATGCGTGGGTGAAGCGAGAAGCAAATCAAATGATTATTTTTAAGAAACCAAATATCTCACCACGTGTATTTGAAATCGTATTGAGGTAAATTGACTATGTTAATGTATAATAATATACGAGACAAACAAATAAATTAAATTTATTTTACGATGTGTTAGATATATTTACTGCGGCAAAATTGACTTGAAAGAACATGACGTACCGACACTTTTAGACTTACTGGTTGCTGTAGATGAGTTGATTCTTAATGATCTAATTGAATACATTCAAGACTTTCTTTTGGAGCGCCATATCGATTCTATGACTGAAAATTTCGCCTTAATTAATCAAATCGTATTCGAACACAACTCTTTCACAAAGCTTCACGAATTTTGCACAGATATTGCATGTGAAAATCCTGCGGCTGTTTTTCAGTCGAATGATTTTGCAAAAATGCAAGAGACTGCACTAGTTTCTTTGCTCAGACGCGATGATTTGAATCTTCAAGAAATCAATATATGGAAGAAGGTTCTTGAATGGGGAATTGCTCAAGACTCCAATTCTGAGAATGTTGATTTGAAAAAATTACAAAGTTAA